AGACTATCACTCACCCACACCAGATGGAAAACTCTACAGACAGTCGGTTCACACCCCATCACATATATATATATCATCACAAACAGAACTGCCCGGTAAAACCGTAGGCAGAGAGAGAGAAGAGGACAACAAACGAGGGGCTGTGACAAACTGTTTCGTTGGAGTTTCACCGACTCATCAGGAGGCTGTATATATATATATATATATATTTTTTTTTTTTTTGACTAAATTGAAGTAGATTTTCCTATTCATAATATTCAATTTATTCTAGTTTTGATTATTGGAATGATATGTGAGATTACATTGTAGAATTGAAATTGATGAAATAGAGAAGTTTTATATATAGAGAGAGAGAGAGAACCAGTCCCGGTTGAACAAAGTTATTATTGAACTTCACTTGGCAGAAGAGGCAACCTTTAAACATCCATGGTACCAGTAGGGGTACATGGAAAATTTGCTACCAAGAGTCCAAATGGGCAGAAGTACTGGGATTTGGAGTTCCACCTGAAGGGGCCAGCGTGGGGCATATGGAACAGACAAAGGGCCCAATCCATATCTGTCTGCTGTCTCGATGGCACATCACTATGCCCCTCTGTTTTATGGCCATATAGAGAAATACGGAATCTTTAAAGGGCATCATCGCACATATTTTACCTTTATTGTTGCTAGCCCTTTCTTTCTTTCAGAACTGAACATGTTATGTCAGGCATTTCCTTTGCTTTTTTTTGTTTTTTTAACCTCCCACAGGGCCCATGATGTCCCGAAGAAAGTTTCTTTTACTCGTTTCCCAGCCTTCTCCAATAGAGAACATCTCACAGGGGAAAAAAAGGATCTCTGGGCATACTTGCACTAGGACGTTTTTTACTTAACTCTGAACGTGATTGCAGCCAGATTCATCCAACTCCGGTTGTAATTGCAGTCAGGTACATTTAAGAAAGTGCTACTATGAGTATGCCCTGAAAGAGGCAGACATAGGACAGGTAGAAATGAAAAATCGCCCCAAACAGTGACAGGGACCCTGTCTGTGCGTGTTAACTGTGCCCAGCTTCAGACCCCAGGTCCAACAAAAGAGTGTGTGTTTAGCACGTACAGCTGCCTAGCACTCTTTCTCACACTAAGAAGATTGTTGCCACGGTGTTGCATAGTTTTCTGTAATCTGGCAACTTCATGTTCTATCGCTTGTCTCAAGGAAAAGGATCTCTCCAAAGAGGACTGACAAGAATAAAGTTATAGAACTCAGTACACGTCACTCAGGTTGTGTACCCCACACTCTAAGAGTACTCTCCACGGACTGCCTGCTGTGACTATCACAACACGGAAAGAAAAGATCACACAAAATTGATCTGATAAACTGCTCTAGAAGGGAGAAATGTGGTAGGACTGGCCCAGGCTGGGGCCACCCAACCTCGTGACGATGAAGGGTACACACACACACAATTGTGCTAATAAACACACATGAGGTTGAATCCTGATGGGATCAAAAGAATACAATAAGGTCTCCTAACGCCTTTCATAAGA